CAAGAGTTATTTTGTAGGACAACAAAGTGCTAAGTCAGCTTGAAACTTCTTCAAAGTTGCCTCAGATGTGAACCTGTCAGGTAGTAGGTGGTAGGTGACTGCTCCTTAGGTCCCCCTGCTCTCAGCAGAGTCCAATCCTAGGCAGCCTCCCTTCTCCCTTGGCCCTGCCAAACTATCAATTGTTAACTAAAAGCTGCTGAAAAGTAGGAAATGACCAAAAGTGGAAAAAGACCAAACCTAAACTAAACAAAGCAGCTGAAGGAAAAGCCCACAAAATACTAATATCAGGTGAAAGTAAAAATAAATCTGGATTAAAAAATAAGGAAGAGGAAGAGTGAACTAGGAGGTAAAGACAAGATGAAAATGGCCCATTCTTCCAGAGAAGAAAGACATAGAGTGTGGGCTTGTTCCAAAGTGGACTAAAGTCAATAAGAAGTTTTCTAATAAGAACAGTTAGCTCTAGATCAGGCTCTATATTATTAAATTAACCAACTAAATATGAGCCAAAGAAACCTTTAACTGGCTCAGAGATTCAATGAGCTATGCTCTCCAGAAGCTTTTAATATTAACAATTATATCTGAAGTTAAAGAAGGAGTGCTATGTTAGAACATAGGCTTAGGGCCTGAGGAAGCCAGTTCAAGTCAGGGCAGGAGGGCAGGTGCTTGGACCCAGCTGCCACTGGCTTTTCTCCTTGAGGTGGCAAGGAGAGCGTACCCGCAGTCAACACCCCAGATAACAAATGCCACCAAAACCTCATGTCTTGGGGCTGGATCCATTGCTCCACAGGCCACAGCTAGTCCATGGACTGTAGACTGCTGACTGCTGTGTTAAAAGACTTTCAGAGAGCTATCACTAGTTACTGCTGCACATGGAAGTAGTGGCTTACTATCTGTACAAGGCATTTACTTTTGTTACAACCACATGTGTGCATCTCTGTGGTCCTTGTGCCCAGCTGCACCCCAATTTTAGCAGATTCTTTAGAAAATTCTTTGGAGGATACAGTAAGAGTTTCCAAGTTTGGACAATAAATTGAGGACAAAAATAGCTGCTTGAAGTACAAAGCTGTTTCACAGTTTGAAATTAGAGTATTAAGTAACAGATATTATTATTGCTATTTTGCTCTTGTTTTACATTTAGGTTTTTTATTGCTTAAAGGACCACTGCCTGTGGGATTCATTATGTGAATACTGACTGCTTCCTTATGGGAGCACTAATATGAATTGTAAGTTTTAAAACCATTTCTAATAGTCAAAAGGATTGGACCAAAATTCAGTAGGAAACCTACTTGCTGGAGTCTGTGTAACAGAATGTAATACAAAATGCAGAGGAGAAAAGAGGTAAGAATTTGCAGCCAGCATACAAAGAAGTTTGCTGGAAAGGAGAATAGACTTCTACATCTCTTTTTTTCTAACACTTGTAGTCATTTCCTGACAGTGAAAATGCAATGAATGAGAAGAATGTCTTCTTAGCAACTGAAGAAGGGCTGGGAAGCCAAGTTTATTACCTCTATTATCTTTCAGTGCCTTTGGAACCACTCTCAAAAGAAACACAGTATCTATCTATCTATCTATCTATCTATCTATCTATCTATCTATCTATCTATCAAAATAGATATAGATATGATATTATTTTGAGTGAGATCCAGATGCAAACGAGTAAAGAAAGACTAAATCTAATAGATCTTTATAGTTTGACCCTGTAGGAAAAATATGAGAAAGAAGGATAAAAATGTACTTCATTTTCTAGATGGAATGAGTAGCAAAAATTGAACTATCTGAAATCATACCTGACTGTAGAGTAGATGTTTCCTAAGATAAAAAAAGTCTGCATTAAAATACACTAATGAGCACCAAACAGTCGCTTATAAATAAACGAAAAAATATAATTAGCTGTAAATGGATTCAGTGGACACATGTAATTTTAATATTTAAAATTTGATTTAAATAGCATGCAGCCTTTCTGGAAATGTTTTTTCTTGTTCATACTTTTATTTATAAATATGTTCTGCTTTGCAAGAACTTGGGAAAATTAACAAACAAATACAATGTATTTAGGGTGACAAAACACTGACAAAAAAAACAAAAAAGAGTTATCCACACTGGCATCATTAAAAAGGGAAGAAAGGATCAGCAGCAATCAAGATACTTAACATGGCTAAAACAGATCAATATCTTTCTTTTAATTTGGGCTGTAAAGCCAAAGGGAAACGCCCGGGAATCAGAATCTATATACTAGGGCTATGATAGTCATAGCTCAGTTATCTATTCCAGTTCTTAAAGTATGCCTAATCTTTTATCTATTCCAGTTCTTAAAGTATACCTAATCTTTTGCTACTTCAGGTAAGTGGTTAAGACTAAATGACATTAAGATAGATATATAGGACATCAGTTATCAGAATCTTAATTTATACAGTACTTTATCTCTACTCATCAGTCTGATTCAGTAACTTGTCACTCTTGATGCTGTATAAGTAATAATTTCTCTTTTTTACATTTCTAATATATATGCCATATATTTTAAAATTTGAATCTGCATACTGTTAAGTTTGGTATCAAGCTTTACACAAGAAGCGATCGTTTCACTTATTCAAACAATATTGTTTTATGGCTTTTCAAGGGATGCATTAGAAAGGGGTTTAGATGAGCAACTATTCCCTTCTTCCTTGATGGCTCTAACAGGGAATGAGGTCCCCTATAAATGTTAAAGGTACTGCATAATTAACCAGTTAATTGAACAGTTACTTATACACATGCAAAATAGCTATCACACAATAAAAAGCTCCAACAAGCTCTAAAATTAGTCCTTGAAAATGTATACTAACTTTATGCGCATGATCCGGGGACTACCCGCATGATCTGGGGACTACAGGGCAGACCCTACAATGAGAGACTGCGGGACCTGAACCTGTTCAGCCTTCACAAGAGAAGGCTGAGGGGGGACCTGGTGACAGTCTATAAACTCACCAGGGGGGAACCAGAAGGGTTTGGGAAAGACCTTGTTTCCCCTAGCCCCCCCGGCATAACAAGGAATAACGGCCACAGGTTGTTGGAAAGTAGGTTTAGATTAGACATCCGCACGAACTACTTCACAGTTAGGGCGGCTAGGATCTGGAACCAACTTCCAAGGGAAGTGGTGATGGCTCCTACCCTGAGGGTCTTTAAGAGGAGGTTTGATGCCTACCTAGCTGGGATCATTTGAGCCCAGTTTTTTTCTCCTGCCCTGCCAGGGGGTCGGACTTGAAGATCTATAAGGTCCCTTCTGACCCTACTTCTATGATTTTATGATTTATAGGTAGTTGCTATCAAATACTAATGTTCACGGATAGCAGGGTCTCTCCTGAGGCTGAAAGACCCCTCGGCTAACAGGGCTTCCAGTTGCAGCAGTGCACTGGGCCAGCATGAAATCCCCAAGCCCTGGGGATTGCAGCTGCCATGATCCCCAAGGCTTGGGGGGGTGTATGAAACCCCTGGCTCACACGGGGCTACCAGCCACAGAAGTGTGCCATGCTCAGCTCGGGCTGGGAGTCCCAAAAGTAAGGGTACTCCTAGCCCCTGCAGCTGCCAGTTCTGGGTCCTAGCAGAGCCCCGGAGTTGCCAGGACCCAGAGTCCGGCAGCTGTGGGTGCTGGTTTCTGGCAGTGTGCATCCTGGTCCTGGGACCCAGCTGGATCCCAGCAGCTGTGGGGGATGGCTGTGATCTTGCAGCCCCAGGGGTGTGTGAAGCCCCTGGGGTTTGGGGGTCACAGCAGCCCCAGCATTCCAGCCTCAGGGGTGCATGAAGCCACTGGGGCTGTGAAATCATGACTACTGTGATCTCCCAGCCTTGGGGGGTGCATGAAACCCCCAGGAATGAGAGAATGCTGTTGCTGTGATCTTCCGGCCTCAGGGGTTTCATACAGCTAATGAGGCTGGGAGATGACAGTTACTGCATTTCCCAGTCCTAGCCATGCATGTGGTGTCCCCATGGCTGGGAGTCCCTCAGCTGAGGGGGCTCCCAGCTGAGAGAGCTTGCTCCTAGCCTGTACGAGAAGATCTAATGCACTATCCCACAATTGTGCCTTCTGCCACACACTTGTGACATGGTAGCAGGCATGTCTGTGTGGATCATGCATTAGATCCCATTGTGCCTTTATCTGCACATGTAGAGACAGGCTTTCAAATGCAAGACATTCTTCATTAGGTTTCTGATCACAGAAAGCACAACATTCAAAGCTTGTCTAACTTCATCCCAACTACATAGTTGGTACAATAAAAGATACTGAACTAATAAATTCTTGCGCTAGCATAATTTCTGGACCACATAGTCACAGCTGCAACATCACACTTACACTACCAAAATACTAAACTAATAACTTTTCAGGTATATGGAGATGTCATTACTTTCTCAAGTATCCTGATCTGCATTTACTCCATAAATATATGTTATGATTAATGTGGGTTTATTAACAAAATCTCTTCAGTTTATATTTCATTGTGGGATCTCTGAGTAAGTTGATGCTTCCCTATCCAGTAACTCACAGAGTTTTGAGTCTCACAATGTAGTTTTGTTCATTTTAATTTATACTCATCCATTCAAAGCATCCCCTCAGTAGAATCAAGTTGAAGGTATTTTTGTGAAACTTTTCTGGATATCATATTGATGCCATATTTTGCTACTTTTGATTGGTGTGTAATTTAATTTTCTTTACACATCAATATCAATGACATTTGTAGAAATATCTTGCCAAAATATGATAATTAAAGCTCCTGTTTCCAGGTAGAAAATTATTGTAGGGGGAGAGAAAGGAATGTCTGTTTCTGCCACATAAAGCACTGTACAATTGTCATGGTCTATTACCAGGGACATGGATGATTCTTTAGTATAATTGGCTTGGGTCCAATTCCTGGTACCTAGAGTCAAACTCAATACATGAGAATACAAAAATTCTTTACATATATACTTCAAGGACTGCAAAACATGACACCTTGTAGAAACATGTAGTATAAACAGGAAACTAGTACCTTGTGTCTGCTTGAGTGGAAGGTGGAAAGCAGATTCCTTACTGAAGGATTTGCATAGGACAGATGCACTGACACAATGTAGGCGTTGTTCATGATCTAAGGGAAAAAAAAAAAAGGAAAAAAGTTATCTTCCACTTCAATGTCATATTCAAGGAAAGAAATTCACAGAAGGTTGAAATGCGATCAACGAATTTCTCTAATGAATGAGCTTCACAGAGTTCTTCAAAGTATACTTTTAAATAGGAGATGACAGCTTTTTTTAAATATCTCCCTATGTTTTAATCACTCTCCTGAGCATGGTGAAGATATGTGTAGATTTAAAGATGAAAACCCAGTTAACTATCTTTACAATAAAACACACACATTAAAAAAAATAAAAGGTTGAGTAAAAATCTTGTCAATTAAACAGGTACTCAATGTACAAAAGAAATTGCCCACCCATGATCCAGCTTCAATCATATAAGAAAATATGGCTCACATTATCATAGTCCTCTGTTTTATGCATCTACATTTAAAGATTTCAATATCAGGGTGAAGAGATGGGCAATGGGACAAAACAGGTGATGGTATGAAACAGAAGCAGACCCCTGACAATAAGTGACCTGGAGCTAAAAAATTAGCTGCCAGACAATATGAAAAATGCTTCTTTTAACAGACAATAGCAATGACACAAATTACACAGACTGAATGGTTACTAGTCCATTGAAATCCTGTCTAGTTAAATCCACACTGTAGTTTTCAGATGGGGATGACCGTTTCATATATGTATCATTTTGAAAATATTTAAACCTAGACAGAGAAGATAGAGGATTTATAGGCACATCATCTTTTGGTTTTTTATGCATTTAGAAGCTTGGGAACTGCACAGGCATGGACTTATCTATGCATATAGCTCAGCCTTTGGCTGTTCAAAATCAAATATATTGTATTAATATCTAGAAAGAAGATATTAGAAAGAACTGTTTGCATCCCACACAGCCCCCTATGAGACATGCACCTTGTTTTTGGAAGGCAAAACAAAGAAAAGATTTTTTGAGAGTCATGGTTGAATGCTGGCTGCATGAAGCAGGAATGAAGTCTACCCTTCAGTGACACTCACTCTCTCCTTGCAGGGAATGCTTTAACACCGTCACAACCATTGCAGAATACAAGCAGCTCAGACTCCAGCATAGAGCCAGCCCCTAAGAAGCCATTCCAGCACCCCCATTTTTCTGTTCTGGCATGAAAACCAGTTTTCTTGCTTAAAACATACAGCCCAGTTTTGGGGGGCTAATCTTCTAGGGGAAAGGTGTATTTAGTATGCAAGTAAATGTGGTATTTCATGCAGTCTCAATCCTAACAAGCTCAAGGTCACAAATGAGGCCATGAATTATAAGAAAATATGAAAGAAAAGAGTGAAAACAGGAGGACATTTTATTACAGGAGTGGCAAAATATGGCCCACAGGCCTGATTTGGCCTGCCAAGGGATTCTATCCAAAACAGCACCCATTCCAGGGACAGGCAGGGAGCAGTTTGCGGCTCTGCCCTGGGCCCAGGTTCTGACCCCAGCTCCACACTGCCCCTCACTGCACTTGGTTTGCACTGTAGCAGCTTGCATCTTAGCAGTGCAGGGCAACCCTAATGGATCGTGACTGCATTAGGATGCCCCACGCAGCCGGGCCATGCCGCACTGGGACTGCCTGTGCACACCTGTGCTGGGGCAGGAGTAGTGGGGGCTGGGTCACGAGCATATGTTCCACCCCACTCCTGGATTGGACTGGTCACAATCCATTGGGGCTGCCCTGCACTGCCAAGCTGCAAGCAGCCATGGTGTGAACCAGGTGCAGTGTGGGACCAGGGCTATGGCAAAGCCACAATACATTCCCCACACATCCCTGTGACAGCAGGGGAACTAGCATCTGTCTCAGGGATGTGCAGGGAGCAGATTGTGGCTCTGTTCCAGCCCCAGCCCTGTGCTGGCACTGCCCCGTGATCCTGGCCCTGGCCCTGGCCCCACCCACTGCTTCCTGCCCACCTGCTTGCAGCCCCATCCCATCCACTCAGCTGCAGAAGTCCTGGGCCATTCTCCATGGAGATCTCACCCACCTGCTCCAGCCAGTGCTCCAAGTGGTGGATGCAGGGCAGATGGATGTGAGGCCAGATAGGCCCAATTGCCCCTCACCCCCCACCCTAGCCTACAAGAGCTGACCAAAATTTCCTAAGTGGCCCTCCAGCCTAAATAATTGGCCACCTGTGTCTTACTGGCTACATGTTTTCTGTCCTTGCTGTTAGGCATAATATTTTTAAGCCAGTGTTATATTACTGAATTTTCTGAACTAATTCTAAATACACATATAAAGAAAGAGACTGGGAGACATCTAGGGAGCTATCCGGGATATACTGTGTCAGGGCTACAGTTGGGACATAGGTGGTTGGGGCTGGGTCCTAAAGGGTCACAAGCAACAGATCAGGAAACAACAAGGTCAGGGAAGCTAGGGACCCAGTTACAGTCAGGGGAAAGAAGCAAGCAATCTAGAGGCCAAAGAATCTAAGGAACTAAGATGTGGTGACCTTGGGTAAAATCAAAAAGCCAAGGGAAAGTTAGGAATAGGAGGCAGGGATGCAGCCTGGACCCAGGGGCATCTGGACCAGGCAGTTATAGCTGCATGGAACTGGGACCTGGACAATTAGCAAGCTAAGCTACAAGTCAAGAACTAGCTCTCAAAGGTCTGAACTGGAGTCTGGAAGTACAAGGGGTTAAGGAACCAGCAAGGCAGTCTGGAAGTACAAAGCCAGATTCTGAAGCTACAAGTCAGCAGGCACAAACCAGGAACAGGGATGAAGCCATCAGGCCTGGGAACAAGAAACCAGGGACAAACAAGCAGGACCCAGGAACTGGAAAACCACACATAAAAGGTGGGAACCAGAAAATTAAGAACAAGGGGTCAGTTGCCCAAAGCTAATCAAAAGAAAAAAATCTATCCTGTTGAGAAGCCTGATGAGCACTGGAGGGCTGCTGCTTATAAGCAGCCAACCATACTCATGCAGGGAACTGGGATCAACTGGGGATAATTTACCCTGCTTGCTGCACTGACGCCTAACATACTGGTATATAAAAAATCACTGCACGATGTGGCAATGAGGCTAGGGTTTTTATTCTGACAAACTTCAAGTTAGGCAAGAAGAAAGTGAGTAGTTGTGAGAATTCCTTGAGGGAAGGAGACCTAGCTTCTGAGGATGTGCCCTGATAATCAAAAGATATTCAAAGGATATTGCTTTCATCACAGAACTGGAGAGAAACACAACACACATACAATACAAAAGGATTGTTTGTACATATCCAACTAACCTGAGAGTAACCAAATGCTGCTGTATTTAGCTTGCTATACTTGTTGGGGGTTCTGCTAGAAAATGTATAATTAAACCTTGTGGCTAGGGACAGATATTACACATTAACCAGCTTAAGTGATCAGAAACTGGTTTAAACCTGTAACAGAACAGACATTCAGTGCACGTAAACCAGCTTGAAAATGGCAAAAACCAGTCTGAGATAAACCTGGTTGAATGTAGTATTAGACTTAATTGATTTGGCTCAAACTGGTTTATGCAATGTCTGTCCCAGACCCCTTCCTGGTTTAACTTAAACCGGAGTCTCTCAGCATCCTGGCATGCTCCCTGGGCTGGGCTCTCCGCTCCAGTCCAGTAGGGCTTGCCCCGCCCCTCTGCTCCCCAGCCAGAGCAGGGACATGCAGGGATGGGCAGGGTCAGGGGTCTGGCCAGAGAGGGGTTTCATTCCCCACTCCCTGTCCCACCAGCAGGTACTCGAGCTGGGTCTGCCAGGCGCTCCCCCCTGCCCTCACTGCTGCAGCTGTGGGCCAGTGTGGCCCCTGAGGGGGCAGGGAGGGGGATTATTCTCCCTTCTATTCCCACTGCCCCTGGGGGACTGCAGCCAGGTCAGCTTGCCCCGACTGCTGCCAACCAGCAGAATAAGCACCCTCCTGTCTTCTCTGCCAAACACTGGAGGGAGGAGGAATAACCCTGGTCCCTGCTTCCCACAAGGGCTCCTGCTGGCTGGCGTCTGGCCCTGCTAGGTGTGGGCTGGCTGGGGAGCAGCCTTCCCGGGCCAGCTCAGAAGTGGTGGTGGGCCCCAAGCCCGACAGCCGCCACCACCATGCCCCCTGCCCTGTGCATCACCCTGGGCTGCAGCTGTACAAGCAGCTGAGGGCTGGCTAGGGCAGGGGGCCATTCTGCCTCCCTCATCTGCAGCTGTCACTGCCATCACTGTGCTGCACTGCTGCGATGGGGGGGAAAGAAGCTTCTGCCCCATGCACCGAGCTCCAGCTCCAGGATGCCTTGGAAGGCGGAAGGTGCCCAGGTGGGAGGCTTCAATCCAGGGCCTGCTGCCAGAGCTCCACATGTAGGGCACAAAGCATGAGGCTGAAGCTCCCTACTCCACCACCTCCCCAAGTGGTAAAAATGGGAGGGGGAGTCACTGCTGCAGGTGAGGGGAAGCCGGCTTTCCCAGCAGTGCTTTCTCTCCTCACCTCCATCTGTGGCTCCTGCCATACCACACAGTGCCGAGGTAGCTTTCCACCTGTTTGCCTTCTGCCTTCCAAGGTGTCCAGGAGCTGGAGCTGTAGTTCCACAGGTGGGGCAGAAGCTTCCTGCCCCCCGACCCCAGTGGCATGACGCAGCACAGCAGTGCAGACAAGGGGGGCAGAACAGCACCCACCCCAGCTAGCCCACAGTTGCTCACGCAGCTGCAGATCAGGGTGCTGCACAGGGCAGGTGGTGATGGCTGCCAGGCTCGGGACCCGCCACCACCTCCAAGCTGGCCCAGGAAGCCCATTCCCCAGCCAGCCCCCTCCTGACAGGGCCAGACGCCGGCCAGCAGGGCCCTTTGTGGGGAGTAGGGACCAGGGTTACTCCCCCTCCCTCTGGTGTCTGGTGGAGGGGAAAGGAAACGACTTATTCTGCCACTCGGTGGCAGTCAGGGCAGGCAGTCCACTACAGGCAATGGGAGTAGAGGGGAGAATAAACCCCCTCCCTGCCCCCTCAGTGGCTACAGTGGCCTGTGGCTGCAGCAGCAAGGTGGGGGGAGGCATCCGACAGATCC